AAGGAGAGAAAGAAGGGAAAAAGACGAGTAGATTAGAAGAGAAAAAAGGGAGTATGTGAGAAAAAAAAAGTAAAATAGTATAACAAGAGAGAGAATCGAAGAGGGAAAGGAAAGTGTGTAGACTAGACTATAGAATGTCACCCTAGTATAGCATAATACCAGTGATTCGATATGAGTTTTACAATTAGGTATTAATTCATGTTAACGCTACCTTAAGTACTTTGTTAAAAGATTGTAAATTGCCTTTATTACCAGTCTGTTGTTTCATATTAATTTAAAGGACTACACTCTCTTGACTGAGAATCTGATCTTAATATTAAGTTAAGATCGAACGAAAATACAAGATACCTGGCAACAGAAGAATAAACATGCGCAAGGGAATTCAGGAATAACAAATGATCACGAAAAGAATACATTCTGAAGGGAATGCAAATATGTCTTTCCCAAAATAGTAAACTTGAACTAGATTGAAAGAATGTGTTATGTTTTTGTTTGCCTTGAAAGTGTTTTGTCGATACGTTTTTTGAAGATGCGCTTCGTGTAGTATGGGAATTTGTTTTTATAAATACATCCATTATTTATGTATTTAAATGTAGTTGTTGTTTTTTATTCCGAAGTTTATCACAGACAGTGTTGTTTACCTGCGGCTGCAACATAGCTACGAACACACGGATGCGAAAAGGTCCTTACGTAATTCCGACTTTGTTTACCTAAAACTTTTTTCATGTATGTATTTATTTATTCTATTTTATTTATTTATTTATTTATTTATTTTTTTATTATCGTAAGAATTCGGTGAGGATGAACGTGATTTATGCTCTGTTTTTGCGTGGTGTTTTTACAAGTGTTCTGATGCGTATCGAGCATGTAAAATACTGATGATATGCAGATGTATGCAGGTGTGTTTTTTTCCATTAAAGTTCTTCATATGATATTGATAACGTGCTTTGGGATATATGATATACGTGCACGCACATGCGCGCGCACACACACAAAATACAGATTGATTGATCGATCGATTAATAGATAGAAATGAATAGATATATACAGAATGGGAGAGAGAAAGAGAGAGAGAGAGAGAGAGTGAGAGAGAGAGAGAGAGTTAGAGAGAGAGAGAGAGAGAGAGAGAGAGGACGGCTTGAACTGTCCAATCCGCACTCCATTCGCCATCCGTTCAGTCCCACAATGTACGAATAGGAATGTCTTTCCCCATGAGCTAAGAGCCACAGTGATGTTGTGGATGTCACCGTGGGGGGGGGGGGTTATCATCTACCGAAGAAGGCACTATTCGCTCGTACTATTTTTAGAAGACAGTAGTCGCCATAGATGAAGTTGCCACGGGCCATTGAGGCAGCAGGCACACATATTTCCACGTAGCATATTGACGACCGTGAACAGCATGCCTGGCATACTCAGATCCCCGATCAAATCGTCCCAAATCTGGCCACATCGGCGGCTCGTCTTGCCTCGTTTACCAGGACAGTTCGATATTCAAACCGTTGGTGATATTATGCGACCGCCGACCTGTTTATGGGCGGGCAGCCAGCCTGAAGCCAAGGCGTCGATATTGCTGCGGACCTGCATGTAGTTGACCTCCGCGCCCGGACGGGTGACATCACACAGGCTGACGCGACTTGCAGGAATGAAACACTAAAATTGTTCTCTGTGCAAATAATTGTGCATGTCGCTGTCAGAAGGACAGTTCCCTGGCTCATGCCTGACAGTCCTCCGCTGGATGCACGCCCCGGTGGGCGACGGAAATGCTCTCGGGTTTAGTTACTTGTCGCTGTATGTTATTTCGTCCTGCCAGTAGCTATGTGCATATATATATATATATATATATATATATATATATATATATATACATATATATATATATATATATATACATATATACATATATATATACATACATACATATATATAAGTGTGTGTGTATGTACATATGTATGTATATAAGTATATATGCGTATGTCTGTTTGTATATCTATGTAGATATCGGAGGCGCAAATTCAGCATATCTTGACTACCATTATGTATTGATAAGCAAACAATACAGTAAAAATATAATAAGCTGGGTCCATAAGAGTGGCTCGTACATTCGCATTTTAAAGTTTTGCAAAATAAAAAAATCCGACTTTCAGCAATCATAGGACACTGCTAACGGACAGTGTATGAAGTGCAGAGCCTTGTAAACAACAAATGAAATCTCCAGAAAAATGAAATATTCAATAATATCTCTTGTGCAACCCTTTGTTCTCGCGTTTGCAGTCTCGAAGGGCTTTGCGTCGCCTCATCTGGGGACTGCTGATTACCTGAGGACAATTCGCAGTGGTTACAAAGTGGTCTTTGTTAACTAACCCGGCCTTTGTCTCCAGCCTTGATCTCTCTGTCCCTTCCTCCACCCCCCCACCCCTTCTCAATGCTCCGGCACATGACCAGCGTGCGGGCTTCGGTGTGTCCTTGTTCGTTTGGGCGAATTCGTGTCCATTCGTGGTCA